AATGTACAGCACCAACAGTGAATCCTAATGTAAACTATGGACTTCGGTTGATTAAAAAAAAAAAAAAAAAAAAAAAAAAAAAAAAAAAACTAAACTAAATGAATGAGGTGGAAATTCATGGAGAAGGAGGTAAAAAAGAACACAATGATTTGTACTCACTTTAATGTGTTAATGACTTATCAAATGCTGCTTGTTTAAAACTGTGCCTTTAGTGTCAGGGATTCAGCAGATGCTAGCAGTGAGTTAGTGAACAGAGCGGTACGCCCACTGCCCTCCTGGGGCTTACATTCTGAAAAGCCTGTTTGGAAAGTGTGGAGAGGGGAGGAGGAAGCCTGGGTGCCTAGGAATCCTGATCTACCTCTGCCTGGAGAGGCTCCCTGTGGCATAAGCTAGAGAGGGTAGTGCACCCAAAGCTGAGAGCCAGGATAAAACCCTGGAGAGGGGCTCCTTGGACACCTCACCTTCTCAGGCCTCCGCCTCACATTTTCACCACTCAGCAGCCCCTACTTCTTCCTGCACTCTTAGAGGGCAGATGGGGAAGGGAGGAGCTGTGTGTCAGGGATCCTCGAGTCTAAGGGAGCCACAGCCCTGGGAAAGGGCACTCTGAGATGGACACCAGAACCCAGGCAGCAAGGGGGAAGGACGTGTTTTGAGGGCATCTCATGCTTTTCTCTATCTGTTACTCCCTGCCAGTACAGGGCAAGGGGGCTGCAAAGAGACCACCACCCACACCTCCTGCCACGATCAAGGTCTGAGTTCTGCCTATCCTGGGAAACACACAGAGTCTGGTCTTCAAAGTTGGTGCCGCAGGGTCAAGAGCAACTTCCTGAGGGCACGAGGAAAAGAGCAGAACTTCTGTGCTGACCTGGTGCCCACTCGGCATGAAGAGGAACTGAGAAAAACAACGACGGTGCCCATGTGGAAAACACAGCCTCTCCTACAACAGAGTTAGACTCTCACTCCTACTAGAAAACAAAAACAGAGAATAACAAGACTTGGTGAGGATGTGGAGGAATTGTGCACTGCTGATGTGAAGATACAATGATGTAGCCCCTGTGGAAAACACCAAGACAGTTTCTCACAAAATTAAGCTGAGAAATTACCATTTGCTCCAGCAATCGCACTTCTGGGTATGTATCCAAAAGAACTGAAAACAGGGTCTCAGAGCGATGTCTGTATACCCATGCTCATGGCAGCATTACTCAAATCGCCAAAAAGTGAGAGCAACCCGGGTGTCCACTGGTGGAAAAATGGATAAACAGAACGTGGTCTCTGCATACATTGGGGTATCTTCCAGGCCTACAGAGAGGGTTCGGACACATGCTACAACGTATATGCAACTTGAGGACTTAACTATATGCTAAAGGAAACAAGCTGGACACCAACAAAGGCAAATGCTGTTGGATTCCACTCAAATCAAGTTCTTAGTGTGGTCAAATTCATGAAGACGGAAAGTAAAATGGTGGCCATCAGGGGCTGGGGAAGGGAGAATGCGGTGCTACTGTTTAACAGATGCAGAGTTTCCGTTGGGGAAAATGTAAGCAGTTCTGGGGATGGATGGCGGTTGTGGTTATACAATGTGAATGCACTTAATGGCACTGAACTCTACACTTAAACATGGTTACAACGGTAGTTTATAGTAGGTATATGTGTAACATAATGGATATGTAATGTATATACACATAGATTTTACCACAACTTAAGAAACAGTTAGCTTCTCTTAGCAACCAAGAAAAAAGCCCCTCTCAGGCTTGCTCAAGTAAGGAGAGTGGGGGTAGGGGTGGCTACTCTGCGGGAGATGGGCCTCTCAGAAATGTACCATCAGGAGCTGTGACGAAGCCACCCGCCCCCTAGAAACCAGAGCAGGGGGCGGTCGTGCTGTTGTCCGTCATCTTCCGTCCACGCCGCCTGCCGGTCTCCTTCCCTGCGGTTCTCTAACTCACACATACTGTCCCCTGTCTTCCCCGGCTTTCCCAGGACACTTGAAGACACACCACACCTCCCTAGACAGTCTTTCATCTTCAGCCCCCTGCTCACTGCCTCATCTCTGTGGCCTCCTGCTCAAATTTTAAAGGAATCAGACTGGCCACCCTATTTTGGGGGAATAGGCACATTACAAACGCCTGGCAAACTTGTGGGCTGGCCACGCCTGACCAGTCAGCTTTTTCAGGTTGTGACAGCCTCCCCAGGGCAGCCCGGTCAGCAGGCCTCAGGAGAGGCAGTGGGTGGCAGGGATGGTGGGTTCCTATGACGGGACTAAGCAGAACATCAGCTTCCAGATTTGTCCCAAAGGCAGTGATTCTCTACGTCTTAGTCCACTTTTTGTTGCTTATAACAGAATTACAAAAGTGGGTAACTTATAAAGAAAAGGAATTTATTTCTTACAGTTCTGGAGGTGGAGGAGGTTGAGAAGCTGTGTCTGTGAAGTACTTTCCTGCTGGAGGAGACTCTGCTGGGTCCCAAGGCAGCTCAGGGCATCACATCACAGGGGAATGAGCAAGATCAGATCTCTCTTTATCCCCTAATAACGCTACTAATACCACTCCTGTGACAATCCATTAGCCCACTAACCCATTCATTCATTAATGGATGAATCCAGTGATGAGGAGAGAGCCCTCATGACACAATCACCTCTTAAAGGCCTTACCTCCTAGTGTTGCCACACTGAGAATTAAGTTTCAATGTGAGTTTTAGAGGAGACAAGCATTCAAACCACAGCACCCTTCCTCCCCATCCCAATAACCTTCCATTATTTGTTATTCTGTTGTTCTTTTACTCCAGGGACAGTAAATGATATATGGGGCAAAAGCCAACCTTTTTCAGTCTTTTATTTCCATGTCACCACATGGTAACATTCAAATGTTTATTAACAAACAGAAAGGAAAATAGGAAAAGCGCTGGATTTGGAATGTGAAGACGCGAGTTGAATCACTTGCTTTCTATATGAGCTTTGAAAAAACATCTAATTGCTCCGAGCCTCCCCCTCAAAGTCTGCACAGTGGAATGGGTGCAAATGTATCAGTGATCTATGCGATGTTCCACCACATCCTAAAAGGGGGTGAAGGGATGTCTTTACGGCTGATCGTCTCAATGTCTTTAATATGCTAATGGGCCTTTTGAATGTCCCAGAGAGAGATTAAAGCACAGAACACCTCTCAAGTTCACCTGTCCACAGAATCCTTTCAACAATCCAGAACATCCTTTGGCTGGGAAAGATGAAGAACCTGTTTGGGATGCCACAACTTCTAAGGGTTACTTTAGTTTTAAAGAATCTCAAACTACCTCTGTTTGATGCTTCCTGTTCACTTGCCCAGAATAAACTGCTCTGGAGTTGAGATTTGAGATGACCTTGGCTACCTTTGATTGCTTCCTGTCTGTATCACACTCGTGGGTGCCTAAGGTTGGTTTCCCTCTGTTTATCCATGAACTGCAGGTAGCCAAGTCCACTGAGTCAGGTTCTATTAAATTGCTTCTGCTTATCTCAGGGAATGATACGGTACCTCCTGTTACCAAGAAAGATAAGGCTCAGTTGCCCCACACTGACACATGCATGAGCAAGGACACCTGAGGGGACAGCTGCTGCCCAGGAACACGCCTGTGTTGTTTCACTGCCAGGCCATCATTGCACTAATGTAATTAATGGGAGGTGCAGTCTAACATGTGGGTTTGTCATGGCAAAGTGAAATACCTTCCATGACTGATAATGCCCAGATATTATAACTCACTGGAGAACAGGGATCAGAGAAAATACTGTCAAATGCAGAAATACAGACATGGCCAGGGCTGCCAGGGGACGACCCGAGGTGTGCTCTCCTGTCCTGCTGCCTTAGAGCTGCAATAATGATGTGCCACAGACTACGTGGCCTAAAACAACAGAAATGGATTGCCTCAGTTCTGGACACTTAAAGTCGGAAATCAAGGTGTTGGCAGGGCCGTGGTCCCACCAAAGCCTCTAGGAGAGGATGTTTTCTTATCTCTTTTGGCTCTGGTAGCCTGGCTATTCCCTGGCTTGTGGCAAAGTCACTGCACTCTCTGCCTCCATGTTCACGTGGTTGCCTTTCCTCTATGTCTGTTTACACATTTTCTTCTTATAAGGACTCCAGTCACATTGGATCAGGGTCCACCTGAATGACCTCATCTTAACTTGATCATGTCTGCAAAGACCCTATTTCCAAATAAGGTCACGTTCATAGGTACGGAGTGTTAGAACTTCAGCATATCCTTTGAGGAACATAATTCAGCCTGTTATATCCCTTATGTCAAGGAAAAGCACATGTGGGGGCCAGCTGCTTGCGGTACATTGTGTGTGGCCTCTGAGCCCTGTCTGTGGCTATCTAATCTCTCCTTTGGGGGCCTAGTTGTGGTTTTCAGACAAGACAGTCCAGAGTCCAGACACCTTCAGCACGAAAGACAGAGTTTAAAGCCAGGGATGTCAAATGCGTCAGAGGCTTTATCTGCAGAGGAGAGAGGACATATTCTGGCGTTACCAGAGCACATCACGGCTTAGGAGCTACTTGAACTCTGGTTTGAGTCCTGCCTCCATCACTTGGTAACTGTGTGATGCCGAGAAGAGCTCTTGACCATTCTGAACCTTGGCTTTCTCACAGGTAATGGGAATGACACCAACCCCATCCCGGTGGCTCTCATCCAAGGGAGATTTTGCCCCCTAGGACATACATGGCAACGTCTTCACACAATTCTGATCATCATAGCTGAAGAGGTACTACTGGAATCTAAAGGGTGAAAGCCGTGGATGCTGCTAAACACCCCTTAATGCAAGGCCAACCCCTACAAGCAGTAGCAATCTGGCCTTAAATGTCCCGATAGTGCCAAGATGAAGAAACACTGCTTCATCCTTACGGGGTTGATAATGAGCTTTGGAAATGAGGCATGCAAGGAGCTCAGCACATGCCTGCCGTCTAGTCAGGCCAATACATGGCAGTTCTACACATTGAAAAGCAGGGAGTTTGTGACAATCCTATTCCGATATTTGAGCTCACCAGAATCTTCAGAGGGTGAAGAAGAACAAAGTCTCTCATGTGGAATGCGATCTCTGCTACCTTATGAATGCCTGAGAAACAGAAAGAATGTAAAATATAATTGAGTAAAGCAGACAGGGAGGCATACAGGAGGGATACAATATTAATTAGCGTTTGGTATGCCTCATGCTTACTACTTTTATTGAAATCACCTCACTTAATCCTTTCACCAACGTGATAAAGTAAGACTTTTTATTCCCATTTTGCAGGTATAGAAACTGAGGTTCATGAGAGCTTAGTACCTTGCCCCTAGGGCATGCATCTGTAAGTGGTGGAACTGTTCTATTTGACCCCCGGTCCCTTTGTCACCAAGTTCATGACTCACTGTTGCCCCACCCTGATTCACATGTAATCACTGGAACTAATGAATTTATTAATCATGAATCCAATGGTGTGGATGCCAAGGGATATAAGAAGAGGGTTTCTTAGGAGATTAGGAACCTAGTGAAGATTCCTCGGGGATTTCTAAGGGACCTCTAGCATTCTAGGGTCTCCCCTCTCTTCCCTCCATTTGAGCCTGGAACCTGCTTCATGTTCTCTCTGGTGATCCTGACAGCTTGAGTAATCTTGCCCTTCAGGAGCGATGAAAAGTCCTACAGGATTATCCCACTTAATTTCCCTTCTGCAGCTGTCCATGAAAAGTCTTATTCCCTCATGATAACAGAGCACCGGTACACAACACAGAGGAAAGCACCTAATGTAACCAGAGGTGTGACAGCAATAGCACAAAAGCGGCAGAGAACTGGAATACACTCTTGTAAAGTACTTGAATCCACATGAAGTGGTAATAACACTTGAAGATAGACAAGAAGTCAAAGATGCACACTATAAACCTAAAATAACCTCTAGAATAATAATACAAAAATTACAACTAGTAAACCACAAAGGAGATAATATGGAATCACAAAAATAATCCATTCATCAAAGAAGATATACCAATGGCCAGTAAGTACATGAAAAGATGCTCAGTATCACTCGTCATCAGGAAAATGCAGCTCCAATCCCCCAGTGAGATGCCACTTCATACCCATCATCATGCCTATCGACAAAAAGAAACTAAGAAATGTCCGTTACAATGTGGAAAAATAAGAAGGCTCATTCACTGCTGGTGGGAATGCAAAATGTGGCAGCCACTTTGGAACAATCTGGCAGTTCCTCAACACGTTAAATACAGAGTTGCCACATGACCCAGCAATTCCATACTTAGGTATGTGTCCACGAAGGGTGAAACATATATCTACACAAAAAAGTATACAGGGGTGTTCATAACAGCCTTATTCATAACAACCAAAGGGTGGAAAAGACCCAAATGTCCATCAACTGATGAACGGACAAGCAAATGCTGTATATCCATATCGTGGAATTAATTCACAAAAAGGAACGAAGCACTAATACATACTATAACATGGATACAAGTAGAAAACATTATGCTAAGTAAAAGAAACACATGTCATATGACTTCATTTATGTGAAATGTCCTGAAGAGGTAATTTATAGAGACAAAAAATAGATTATTGTTTTAGGGCTAGGGCAGGAATAGGAGTGGGAGGTTTTGGGGGTAATAGCTAAAGTGTATGGAGTTTATCTTAAGAGTGATTAAAATGTTCTATAATTGATTAAAATTCCATAATTTTCATATATATCAACAATCACCTAATTATACACTTTAAATGGGCAAAGTATAGAGTATATAAATTATATCTCAAAAAAGTCTGTTTTTAAAAAGCAATCAGTCCAAAAGTGGACAGAAAAAGAAGAAAACGGGACAAATGGAAAACAAACAGCAAGATAAAATGGAATCACAAAAATCATCAGTTCATCAGAGAAGATATACCAATGGCCTGTAAGCACATGAAAAGATGCTCAGCATCACTAGTCATCAGGAAGGATGAAGCAAATATCTACACAAAAACATCTACCTGAATGTTCAAAGCAGCATTATTCATAACAGCCAAGATGAATGAATCAAACCTAATCACGTAACTAATTACATTAAACTTAAAGCGTCTCAACTCAGAGGCAGAGACTGAGAGGTGGGGTTTTCTTTTAAAAAGCAGGAACCATCTACGTGCTGCCTACAAGAAACCCACTTGGAATGAAAAGACACAAATAGGTTAAATGTAAAATGATGGGAAAGAATATACCATGCTAACACCAATTTTTTTTAAAAAGCTGGAGTGGATGTATTAGTATAAGAAAATATAGGTTTCACAGCAGAGAATATTACCAAGGAGAAAGAAGTGCACCGAATAATGATAAAATGGTCTATTCATCAAGAGGATACAACAATCTTAAATATTTATGGACCTGATAACAGAGCTTCAAACTACATGAAACAAAATCTGGTAGAACTCCAAGGAGAAATAGAAAAATCTCCAATTATATCAGATACTTTAATTTAACTGCTTGTTATACAATACCTGAGAAGGACCTTTGGAGGTTGTCTAATCCGGTCCATTTATTTAGCTAGATGAGGGAAATGGAGCCCAGGAAAGTCAAGTGACTTCCCTGAGGTTGTGGAGTTAAATAGTGCCAGAGCCTGCCTATTAGCCCAAGGTATCACCAGATTCCCGCAGCAAGCAGACTCCAAAATTCGCCATAAAGTTGTGGTGAGAGACTTGCAATCAGAAGCAGGAGGAATCCCACTAGGTATCTAGTCACAGTTAATTGTGTTTTAAGAGACTACCTATTCAGGCCTTTTTGCAAATATTCATTAAAGGTTAGGCACCTTTGGGGGTGCTGGGGATATAGCAATGATGCCAAAGTTTCTCTCCTCAAGGAACTTATATTTTAGTGAAGAAGACACAGGCAGTAAGCAAGTATATAAGTGGTCAGTGCAATTAAGAAGAGTAAAGCAGGGTAGGAGACACAGTGGGCTGGACCTTTTAGAAATTGTGTCCCCCAATTTTTCCCCAAGAAAGCCTAGTCCTGTGAAACGTTTCACAGAAATGGGCAAATAAATTCTGCCTGCCCATCCTCCTCTTGAAGATTCCCTATGCACACTAGCAAACTCAAGGCCCTAAGAAGTCCTGCGGTGATGAAAAGTATTTCAATGTGTTCAATCCAGTGCTTTCCAACCATGGAACAGAGTTTGAGGAATGTCCATAGCGCCTCCTGGGCTCCCTACAACTTCTTTCATACCTACTTTGCGGATTAAAGAGCCAATCCTCTAACTTTTTAGGTCTTCAGCATATTCCTCAAAGAGATTGTAGCTTCCTTCAGAAGGAATTCACAATTGAGGCAATTACATCCACCAAAGAGGCAGTGTGATGCTGGGGGAGGAGCTCTTCCCTGGGCTCCTAGGAAGTGATTCTCAGCAAGGAATGTGATTCTCAGCAAGGAATCACTTGGCCTTTCGAGGCCTCAGTTTTCTGGTGAATAAAATGAGAACGCAGACTCATCTAAAATGAGCTCTCGGACTTCCTGCAGCTCTGCAGTTCTGGAATTCTCTGCACGTAGTTTTGTTGTTGTTGTTGCCCAGGCTGGAGTGCAGTGGTGCAATCCTGGCTCACTGCAACCCCCGTGCCTACCTCCCCCGCCCCTCACCTCCGCTCACCGTTCAAGCAGTTCTCCTGCCTCAGCCTCCCAAGTAGCTGAGATTACAGGCACGCACCACCATGCCCAGCTCATTTTTTTGTATTTTTAGTAGAGACAGTGTTTCACCATGTTGGCAAGGCTGGTCTCGAACTCCAGACGTCAGGTGATCCACCCCCCCAGTCTCCCAAAGTGCTGGGATTACAGGCATGAGCCACCACACTGCCCTGCTGCTCTTAGATTTTAAGACGGTGGTTGGCCTTGGTCATTAGAATATCTATGTCCTAGATACTAATCCTGCTGCCGTGGTGTGGAGACACGCTTTGTCTCATTCGTGCTCAGACTTGAGATCAGTTGAAAGCATTGGTTCTCCAGCATGGCTATGCACTGGAGTCATCTGGAGCTTTTAATAAACACTCACACTTAGATCCCATCCCAAGTGTTTGATGGCATTGGTCTGGGGAAGGGCCTTGGCTTTGGAATTCTGACAAGTGCCCTGGGGTGTTCTTATGAGATGCTATGGCTAAGAACCATTGCCTGTAAGACACAGTCCTCACACTGCAGTCTTTCCTCTTCACCTGCATGGTGTATTGTCCTCTGAGCACCATCTGTACATGAGAATGTGTGACTATATGTGGAACAACTATCTTTTGCCATTAATAGAAGGTAGCTCTAAAAAAACAAACCAACCATCAAAAGGAAAATAATACAATTACATTCTAGCTAAATAACGGCGTCTGCCAAAATTCTGAGCCTGAGGTCAGCATTGTGTTATGGTCACAGTGGCCTCGAACCGAGAGTTTCCCTTTGTGCTTTTAGAGTAACAGACACACAAACAAGGAGATATTTGTCACAGGGTTGTTCAACTGGATTTAATGCTGTGTCTGGGGCCTTCTAAGACCCTTTTTCTGACCACCATTAGCTCACACTCTGGGGATGCTCTATAAGGTCTTCATGGCTATGTCTTAGGGGAGTCATTCCTGGAAATGGGGGTGGGGTCAGGGACCAGCCTTACCAGGCCTTCAGTCTTCCACTATTTAGAAGAAACAAGGGTAAAAAAGAACACCAATGACAACATTGAAAGGTAATGGATGGGAAAGCCAGAAAAGGCGATGTGAGATTGAGTAGGGCAGGTGTCAACAGCAAAGTCCAGGTGAGTCTGAAGGGAGAGGCAGAGCAATTGAGGTTTCCTGCCGTTCCTAGGTATATGAAAGCCCTTCCCTCCACTCTCCAGCTCCAGAAACAGTGCTCCATTCTTCTGGCTTGTGGTGGGCCTGAAGTAGCCTCCTCAGCCCACCAGCAGAAGTGTAGGTTCAAGGACATTCCCCTAACTTGTCATAAGGTGGGAGTCATTGTCTCACTTCCTCTCCTGCTTCTGGATTATTTTGTGCTTGGAGAAGGCTCCTAATTAGGCATCAGCAACCAAAGTAATGGGCTTTACTGAGATGAGCCTTTCATAAACTCTCAAATCCAGTAAACAGAAAAGAACAAACTGTTCTAGGAAAAAGTGAAAGTCTGAAGCTAATTGGAAATGTTGCTCTTTAGAGGAAATGAATAAAGTGAACGGGACCTTGATTTCCTAAGTGTGATGGTGATGATCACATCACCTTTAAAAATTAATGAATATTGTTTTCTGTAATAAGAATGGTTCTGGGGGCAGTGAGACAGCACAGTGCCTCTGATGGTGAATGTTCTTCGCTTTGTTACTGTGAATGAAGCCACCTGGTTTTGCTGGGGCTTCGCCACAGTGATCTCTGGCCAAATGCACCATAAGAAACAAAGTGCCAGTTGGAAAGACATTTAAGGTATTGGGGAAATGACAAAGGTCTTCAGTTGTCAGTCGTGAAATGAAACCTTATATTAGTCAGTAGAGGAGGAGCTCTAAAGGAGCTTCTGGGTCTCCTGGAAGTTGTGAATGCCGGTGCCTGTTTCTTACTGGTATCAAGCTCTCTTTCAGAAGTGGAGGCTAAGCCGTTTTATAAAATCGAAACAGACTCAGGTTTGCATGTAAGGGTACCTAGAAGTTGTTTTTCCTCAATATCGATGTATCTGACCAGAAGACATAGGTTTCTCCATTTCTATTAGCAGAAATGCTTGTATAACCCCTTGGCAAATATGTTAGAACATCTGCAAACAGGCAAATGGAACCTAAATGGGGACTTTTTTTTACAACTCTTTTAAATTATTTCATTGTCATGAAAATGTATTGACTAATTCTGTTTTAAAACTTCATTTTGAAAACAAAACCCCTGAAAAATATATACCATAGACAACCTGAGTAGGCCTGTATCATCTTAAGAAATTGAATCAATAATTAATAACTTTCCAAATGAGAAAACACTAGGTCCAGGCAGCTTCACTGGTGAATTCTACCAAACATTTAAGGAAGACTGTATACCAATCCTCTGGAACTTCTTCCTCTGGAATATAGAAGCTGAGCTAACACTGCCTGTACTTATCGAATGAGACAACCATCACCTTAAAACAAAACCAGTCAAAGACATTACAAAAAAGAAAACGACAAATGAGTATCTCCCAAGTATATAGATGCAAAAATCCTCAACTAAATATTAACAAATTGAATCCAACAGTGTGTAAAAAGAATTATATAACATGCCCAAACAGGCTTTCTCCTAGATATGCAAGGCTGTTTCAACAATAAAAAAAATCAATGGATATATTATACCAAGAAGCTAAAAAAAAAGGAAAATCACATGATCGCACCAGTAGATGAGAAAAAGGCACTGGACAAAATCCAACATCCATTCATGATTAAAACAGTCAGCAAACTAGGAATAAAGAAGGACTTCCTCAACTTGATATGAAAAATCTACAGAAACTCCACAGATGATGTGTGTTTAATGTTGAGAAACCAGCAAAGATGTTCTCTCTCACCCTTCCTCTTAAACATCATACTGGATGTCTTAGCAAATACAAAAAAACAGGAAAAGGAAATAAAAGGTATGCAGATTTGGAGGGAAGCAATAAAAACTTTGTTCACAGATGACATAATTCCTATATAGAAAATCCAAAACAATTGACCAGAAAAGAAGTCCTTGAACTTCTAAGCGATTAGAGCAAAGTTTAAGACATGATGTTAATATACAAAACTCAATCCCTTTCCTATTTGCCAGCAATGAACAAGCGGGATGTGAAATTGAAAACACAATACCAGTTACATTAGCAGTCCTCAAAATGAAATACTTAGGTATAAATCTAACTATATATATATGATCTTAATAAGGAAAAAACAAAACTCTGATAAAAGGAAAAAAAAGAGCTAAATAAATGGAGAGACATTCCATGTTCATGAATAGAAACTCAGTATTATCCAGTTCTTCTCAACTTTATCTAGATTCAACACAATCCCAATTAAAATTCCAGTAAGTTATTCTGTAGATATCAATGAAGTGCTTCTAATGTTTATATGGAAAGGTGAAAGACAGAGTAGCCAACTTAATATTGAATAAAAAGAAAACTTGGAGGACTATACCATCTGACTTCATGACCTCCTATAAAGCCACAGTAATCAAGGGAGTGTGGTATTGCCATAAGAACAGACAAATAGGTCAGTAGAACTGAATAGAGAGCCCCGAAATAGATTCACACAAATATAGTTAACTGATCCTTGACAGAAGATCAAGGACAATACAATGGAGAAAAGACTGCCTTTCAGCAAATCATGCTGGAAAAACTGAACATCCAAATACAGAAAAGAAAAAAAAAAGGAATATCCACACAAAACTGATACCTTTCATAAAACCCCAAAATAGATCATAGACCAAAATACAAAACACAAAACTATAAAACTGTTAAAAGATAGCACAGGAGAAAATCTAGGCTGGGTTTGGCAATGTCTTTTCAGATATAATACAAAAGGCATGATCCATGAAAGAAAGCGTTGATAAGCTGGACTTTATTAAAACTAAAAACTGCTGGTTGGCAAATGACACTCACCAGAGAATGAGAGACAAGACATAGGGAGAAACGATGTGCAAAAGAGATAGCTGATGAAGGACTGTTGTTCCAAAAATATGAAGAACTCTTAAAACTAAACAAAAAGAAAATGCACAACGGATTGAAAATGGGCAAATGACCTTAACAGACACCTCAATGAAAAACGATGCACAAAATGCAGCTAAGCACATGAAAAGATGTTTCACATCACATGCCATCTGGGAACTGCAAATTAAAACAATAACATAGCACTTTGCACTTGTTAGAATGGCCAAAATTGCAAACACTGACAACACCAAATACGCAGTAGCAGGAACGCTCATGATGCTGGTGGAAATGCAAAATGGTGCAGCCACTTCGGAAGGAGGTTGGCAGTTTCTTACAAAACTCTTTTTTACAAAACACGCTTTTACCATATGATCCAGCAATCACACCATTGTATTTACCCATGGTAACACTCTTCTGTGTCTATGGATTATGAAAACTTTCTCTCAAGAAATTCCTCATCCTTTTGCACTCTAGCCTGGGTGAAATCCTGTGTTTAAAAAAAGGAAGAAGGAAATTTCTCATCCTCAACACAAGCAAGACAAGTCCCTAGAGTAAATCATGAAGAATCAAAAAATAAATGTGGCCCATGAGGAGGAAAACAAGCATCCAGACACTCTCTGGCTATAAGGACCCTGAGCAGACTGAATTGATGGTGTCCATAGGTCATACCTGAAAAGGGATTCAGGATCCTTGCATCACTGGAAGTACAATGAAGTACTGGCCATGTATCTGCTCCCAGGCTATAAGAGTTGCAAGCTGGAGACTATACCACAGTCCTGAGGCCTCCTGCCCCACCTTCAGCTGATCCCACTACCTGCTGCACTCCTTCCCCATCTACTAGGTGCAGCGTGGGCATCTCAGCCACTCAAAGCAGCAGACGTCTAGCCAATCTGCCATTCCCATTTTTAATTCATGTGCTGTGAATAGTCAAAGGAGCAACACAGAAATCAGAGGCCTGAGGAGGACCAGGAGTCGGGGCAGAAGCCACCAGCACAGCTAACCGGCCTGCTAGTCCCCTTCCTGGCCTGCACCCACCCTGGACAGTCCCCCAGTGAGGCCCTGTCACCTCCCCCTTCACCCACACCCCAGCAGCAGTGGTGGAACTCCAAATGGAACCAACTCCCTGCAGGGCGTCTCCTACAGGGGAAACCAACTGCACTCTGAGCAGCTTGGACAGGTGCAGGATCAGTAGGATTTGCCCGAGGTATGACCCCGGCCTTTCTCTGTGGAAACAGAAACAGCCAGGACTGGCAGGGGACCATGGGCAGGTTCTTCACCTTCCTCTGCAGGCAGCTGTGTTTAAGGTTGGTCAAAAAGCACCAGCACGAGGCTGAAAGCAGAGTGCCAACAGCGAAACCTCAGATAATGGGCAGCAGGGCAAGGCTGAATACAGGAAAGCACGTGGGAAGGTCAAACTGGCTTCCAGCACTTTCCACGCAGCAGGGAGGTCCTGAGTTCCAGGGAACTCAAGGAGATGGGGCAGGAGATGGGCCATGCTGGAGGCAAACAGCTGCAGGTGGGAATGAGCAGTAAATACGCACTGCTGTGCATGGCCCACCTGGCTAAAAGGACCTCATGCAGTGGAGACACAGGTGTGCAAGCTGCCAGCCTTCGCTCAGCGGGATCAGATCAGGAAGAAATCCCATATACCTCCCTGGCCTTCAAAAGCATTGTCGCCAAGATAAGTGCTGACCTGAAAAGTTGGCCAGGAGCTGCCTGGGAACAAGAGAGGTGGGCGGACCCTCTGACCCAGCTGGGGAAACTGCAGAGACTGGACTGCTTCCCTAGGGGTTCTTCTCCCCTCCCATGCTCCTCTCTGTCCTGTCTTCTGTGGTTAATGGGGAAAGGAGATAGTTCTATAGAAATAAACAAATACAATCAACATATACAAAAATATATATGTCAATTCATTATATTTAAATACAATAGTTAAAAAAAACCAGCCCTGCTTTATGAATATAGCAGTTATAAGACAATTGTCTACAATGTCCAAGGGGAGGGTCCTGAACCCTTGAAAATGCTCTCGTGACCCACCTGAAAATGATAACAAAGACACTATCCTCAGCAGAAACCAAGGCCTGCAAGAGCATCCCGAGAGTGGGACAACTGTCAATGGCTATAAAGAGGCCTTCCCTGAAGCTGTGCAGTGGCTCTTGTTGCTGGGAAACAAGGCCTGAGGGTCACATCTGTATGATAAATACTGCTCTGAGACAGCCACTCCATTGTGTATAATCCTAAAACAATCCCAGTGTATCCTCTCTCATGTCCTGTGGGTGGCTGGGCTCAGCTGGGTGGTTGCTCTGCTCCTTGGGGTCTCTGCTGGGCTCACTCCTGTGGGCAGGATCTGATGTAGAATGTGCAAGTGGATTGCCAATGCCTGTAGTTTCCTGAGTTTGGGAATACAGGGAGCCTACTCTGATGGAGACGGACAAATCCACTGTTGACTGGGATGGACTGCAAGGTCCCAGAGGGTTCTCTCACAGTCTGAGGCCCTGGTGCTGATTGAGGGCTGGGGTGCCTCCGTTTTTCTTCCTGTGGCCTCTTAGTCACAACAGGAGAGTCGATACTTCCCTATAGCATGGCAGCTGGGTTCCAGGAGGGAATATTCCAGGAGGAATGGACTAGTGCTTGTCTCTGTTCGTCTCACTCTCACAAATCACATGGCCAAGTTTGGAGTGAATGTAGGGAGGGATCACACAGGGAGGAGAGTGCAGGGATGCTGGACCCACCGGGCATTCAAGGACAGTCTATCACACCCTGCTATGCAGCAGAGCACTGGACTCCTTTAGAGAAGTGGATGAAAATGCTCCTGGTGGTGGGATTTCTGGCTGAGTGTCTATAGACAGGAGTAGAAGATAAAGCAGAATTCCATGCCTGTGTGTAGACAATGAAGGTTTGTTCATTGCCCCGTCATGGTGTTTGTTCATGGTGTTTGTTCATGGTGTCTGTCTGCGGTCATTCTGTGCCATCCTCTGCCATGACTCCCAGTGAGGCAGGATCTGATGTAGAATGTGCAAGTGGACTGCCAATGCCTGTAGTTTCTTTAGTTTGGGAACACAGGGAGCCTCCTCTGATAGAGAGGGACAAAACCACTGCTGAGGTCACGCTAAAGGAGACATTGCCTTGTCCTGAAGTAATTCAGGACAGCATCCAGCTTGGCCACTGCACACAAGTTGATGCCAAGGTCACTGTCAATAGCCTGACTGAAGCTCATTGACTGGGGAAACGGGGCTTGCTTTGCCAGGACTGAGGGCTTGTGGGTTGGGGCAACATTCCCTATTCAGCTTGCAAATCTCATCTTGACCCTCGCTTCCCAGAAAGTTGCCTAGCAGAAATCACTTGTGATTTACGTCCACATTCTCTTCCTCTCTCCTATTTCAACAGGCTCTACTCTCACTAATTTAGTGTCTGCAGTCCTGCTGGCCCATCAGCTCCAGGAATAGAAGAGTCAGGAATGTGCTCCTCACGGTACCTCCAGTGCCTAGCTCCGTGGGTGTTGAAACTGAAAACTGACAAATATTTCCCCTTCTTGCTGTCTGCTACCTCTCCCTTCTCGAGTTTACTTTGACACTGCTGACTAAGAAGCAAAAGGCCAATGACTTTGGTCCTCTCTGTCCAGGCCCCAGGTGAGAACTATGTCGTAAGGGGCAGTGGCCACAGGATGTGGTGTATGGCTGGAATGATGTAACCTTTGCCCTGGGACATCCTCATGTAGCTCAGATGTCAGCTACAGCCCAAAATAATAAAATGCAAATCAAACTCCCATTCCTTGTAGAATGAGACCCTCAGCCAACTTCCCAAACTCAATGAGGATTCTTGAAAGTCAGGTATTTCCCTGGATCTCCTTGCATTCTGATTTTCTGCTTCCACTGAATCCTGATCTCTCTCCCTCTCATTTTTCATATTTTAGCTGCCCTTTTTCTTTCTGTCTTTAATCTACCTGGGAAGATTCAGCTCCTTTACTTTATCTCTCCTAAACATCACTTATGGAAGGCCATTACATATGTATCGTGCAAAGATTTAGTGTCTGCGCATGGGAATAGGGGTGGGAGGATTGCATCATGAAATAGCACAGCAGATAAAATAGACTTTCAGACATCATCAGTTTAAAGGCCTCTGTTGCCCACTTTCCTGGGCGCCCCAAGCCAAGCTGGGGAATATTCTCTTCTGTTAGCTGTCTTCTCAACTTCTTCTTGACCCCTTCATCCCCCTCAACCTTCTCATCTCCACCCAGGCTCACCTACACCACTATCCCCCAAAACAATGCCTTGTTTTTTTTAGATTCAGAGAATATTTCTTTTTTTTTCATTTTTTGAAGATTTTTCCAAAGCTGTTGCGTTGTCACTGAAGTACACCAAAATGCAGATATTTAAAGTATATGATTCCATCAGTTTTGACATTCATATGCCCATGAAACTATCACCTCTCAAACTACATTGCCATCCGCACCCAAAGTTTCTCTGTGCCCTTTAAAATTCATTCCTCCCTCCCCCTCATCCCCAGGCAACGACTGATCTGCTTTCTCTATATGAACATCAGTTTGTATTTTCTGGTGTTTTATATAAATAGAATCATACAGTATGCTCTTTTTTGCCTTGCTTCTTTCACTCAGTATAACAATTTCGAGATTTTTCAGTGTCGTGTGTACTCATAGTTTGTCTTTATAGCTCAGCGGCATTCCATCGTCTGGACATACTACAATTCATTCAGCTACTGATGGATTTTCTTATTGTTTTGCTGTGTGTGTGTGTGTGTGTGTGTGTGTGTGTGTGTGGCTATAGCAAGCAAAGCTCCTATGAAAACCCACATTCAGGTCTTTGGGTTTCACGCTCTCCTTTTTTCTTTGGTAAATACCTATAAGTAGATTAGATGCGTCACGTGATAGGTATATGTTTAACTTCTTAGGAAACTTCCAAACTGATTTCCGAAGTAGTTGTACCATCTTACGCCTCCACCAGCAATGTATGACCATCTCATTTGCTCTGTGTCCTCATCGACATTGGATACAGTCAGTCATTTTAAAGTTAGCCGTCTCACTGCATGCTTTTGTGGGTGTATGTACGTGTGTTTTTAAATGCTCTTTGGTTTAGCCAACGCTTGGCTTCATTTATACCAAGAGGGAGCATTTTCTAGGTTTATGGGGGAATAAAACCAGATTATTTTGTTCTAGGATATTATTAGTAATGTCCCCTTTTCACCTCCAAAGTGTCCTGGTTTGGATGATAAAAATATATGTTTTCTCTGCTTCTAGCCCAAGTAGCCACACTCCCTGTCTGTTCTTCTACAGCCACATTGCCCGTCAAGGCATTCTGTTCAACGAAGAGCTTTCTCTTCTTTAAAGAAGTTTTCCTGCTTGTCTTAAACAACTTTTTTCCTCACTGCACCAGGATTTCAGTAAGTGGCATAATGTAGCTCAGTGTTTGGTTGGAAGGGGGTGGTAGGAAGGAAGGCATTTTTGCCATCAAGTGGAGACAGCTTGCCTAAAAATGAAGACTACAAAGAGGACCGTGGAGCGGAGATGGAGGGAGTCCTGCCATGACCTGAGGACATCACTTGGCTGGATGCAGCCATACCTGGGGTAAGTTCCTTACCTTAACTTTTCCACAAGGAACCAAGAAACCCCTTTTTTTGGTCTCAGCTAATTTGACTTGGTTTTCCTGACTAGTATACACAGCAGGGGAATGTGCCTCAGAAAGGCAGAAGCATTTTCCAAACCTGGGCTGCCGCTCATTTTACATCAGAGATACCTTCTGCCTGTGAGGTACTATTTTTGCCCACCCAGTCCTTGGAATTGAAACCAGATGCACTAGTCACATTGGTTGGGAATGAAACTTCAGAGAACGCTAAACGGCCAGGGTCAAAGTATTCAACGGTATCACCGCATGGTTTGCTTAATCGAATACTCTAGCTCTGGGTATCCACTCTAACGCGGCGGGCTCTTTAATCTTTAACCAAACTGTCATTTAGCAGTGCGATCCAAAAGCCGTTCTAAGCTTTGGGAAGCAGCCCCCATTTCCTTTCTTCGTAATGATTATACTTAATAATTACAGAAACGTATCCTTCACTCACAGCGCTAAACGTGCAAAGGAGCAAACCTGTGTTTGACCTATGCGAACACAGGAGGGTGGGGCGTGCCCTCTGCTAGGGGCACAATCAGCCGCTGGCGTTATTAGAGGACATCTCTCTGAAAGGAACAAAGGTAATACACTAGTGGAAGAAAAGAAAGGCTGAAAGTGGGGACAGAAATTAAGACGACCCCATCCAGTCCCCTCTGGAACGTGCTGCAAAACTCCGTGAGACCCTGGACCTACAGGGATGCCCTCTCAGGGACGGCCCCGGCCTTCATCCCCACATTTCAAAGATGGACGAACAGCAGCTGGGCAGGTCTCACCTCGGGCGATCCTAAACAGCCTCTGCCGGGCACAACCAGTCCTAGGTCCCAGGCGGCAACCCTGGTCCGGGGGCAGCTGACTTAGGACAGCCTCCCTGTGACCCGCCCTCCCTGGCACGGCGCCGGCTCCGCCCCTTCAACCCCTAAGTCCCGCGTCTGCGCTTCCGGGACCCACCCCCGCGCTCATGGCCCCGCCCCCTAGCTTCCCACCCGCTTGCTCCCTGGACCCGCTCCCACACTCTATGACCCCGCCTCTCGCACTCCAGGCCCGCCCCTCGCGTTCCCGGGTTCCGCTCTCCAACCGTTTGTGCCAGGCCCCGCCCCCACACTCCATGGCTCCGCCTCTCGCACGCCAGGGCCTCCCCTCGCGCTCTCGGGTTCGCTCTCCACCCTCTTGCGCTCTGGCCCCGCCCCCTCCTCCGTGGCCCCGCCTCTCGCACGCCAGGCCCGCCCTTGCGCTCTCCACCCGCTGGTGCCAGGCCGCGCCCCGCGCCCGGGCCCCTCCCCCTCGTGCCCTCGGGAGTCCCGGGGAGGAGTTACCGCGCGGAGGAGGCGTGGCCGTGGTGCCTGCTGAGGCGAGAGCGGCGCCGCCGGGACTTTGGCTTTGACACCGACTGAGAGCGGGAGCCTTGTGGCTGGTGCTGGGTCTGGACCGGCTCTGGCGGATCCCGCGCCAGAGTTGGGCTCCGGACTTTCTGCCGGGATCAACGCAGCTGCGGCGCTGCCGCAAGTCTTGGTGCAGCCTCCGCGGCGGATTTCGCCGCCGCTGCCGCCGTCTCCGAGCAGCCCCGCGGCTTCTGTTTGTTCACTCTGAGAGCGATGCTGAGTTTCTCCCGCAGAAAGAGCCGGGACAGGCAGGCCGAGGCGGCGTAGGAGGCTTCCAGGGCCCCGCCAGTGACCTGCACCCGCGCGGGCGCCTCGGCTGGAGGCAGGGTGCCCGCGCTGTCCGGGGCTGGGCTTAGGCTTCGGAGCCGCAGGTGGAAGAGGACCCGGCGCCCCGCGGAGTGGCCGAGAGGTGGGGCACGGGGACCCGCGGCGAGTCGATTTCGGGGGTCGATCAGCCCCTTCCCAGCGCCCGCGCCGGTGAGCACGGACTTCCCAGGTTGCAGGTGGCGCTGTGTCAGACGCGGACCGTGGGGGAGGTGGAGTGGTCCTCCCGTCTTCGTGAGCCCGAGTGGGGGTGACCCAAGTGCCAGAGTTGAGAGAGGCCGAGAGGAGAAGCGTGAGGCTGATGGTGATGGGTCTCTTCCCAAGAGAGGCGGCTCGTGGCCTTTTTGGATTACAATGTGGTAAAGTCCGGACGTCCCCAGAGGAGTATCCAGATGGGCCAATCCTCATTGTGCCTGTGTTTTTAGGGGCTCACAGCAGTCACCAGCCCCGGACTCCTGGTTACTAACTCCAGCACTGGGTAGGAGGTGCTAATGCAAATTGCTTAATTCAATGGATTTTTATGTTTATTAATATGTTTTATGTTTATTAATTTATTCTCTAGGCGGCCAAGTGAACAGCATGGCGGATTCGGTGTGTCTGTCATAACCACCTCTTCAGCCCTTGAATCCTGCACCTTCCATTTTTCAGCGCTTGTACGCCCTACTGGGCTTCCTCCCGAGCCAGAGATCTCTTCTGCAGCGGTGAGGCCTTCCTGGGCCCTGATCCTGGCGGACCATGGGGAGCACCCTGGGCTGCCACCGCTCCATCCCGAGGGACCCCTCGGACCTGTCCCATAGCCGCAAGTTCAGCGCAGCCTGTAACTTCAGCAACATCCTGGTGAATCAGGAGCGGCTCAACATCAACACTGCCACAGAGGAGGAGCTGATGACCCTGCCTGGTGTGACGCGTGCTGTGGCACGCAGCATCGTGGAGTACCGAGAGTATATTGGTGGCTTCAAGAAGGTGGAGGACCTGGCACTGGTCAGTGGTGTAGGCGCCACCAAGCTGGAGCAGGTCAAGTTTGAGATCTGTGTGAGCAGCAAGGGCAGCTCCGCGCAGCACTCTCCCAGCTCCCTGCGGCGGGACCTGCTGGCGGAGCAGCAGCCTCACCACCTGGCCACAGCTGTGCCCCTCACCCCACGTGTCAACATCAACACAGCCACCCCGGCCCAGCTCATGAGCGTGCGAGGCCTCTCGGAGAAAATGGCCCTCAGCATCGTGGACTTCCGCCGCGAGCATGGGCCCTTTCGCAGCGTTGAGGACCTAGTGAGGATGGATGGTATCAATGCCGCCTTCCTGGACAGGATACGACACCAGGTGTTTGCTGAGCGGTCCAGGCCACCATCCACCCACACGAACGGGGGCCTGACCTTCACCGCCAAGCCTCACCCGAGCCCTACCTCCCTGAGCCTGCAGAGTGAGGACCTGGACCTGCCACCAGGGGGGCCCACGCAGATTATCTCCACTCGGCCCTCCGTGGAGGCCTTTGGAGGCACAAGGGATGGGAGGCCTGTGCTGAGGCTGGCTACCTGGAACTTGCAGGGCTGTTCCGTGGAGAAGGCCAACAACCCTGGGGTGCGAGAGGTGGTGTGCATGACACTCCTGGAAAACAGGTGAGGACAGGAACCACCATGGGCGTTGGGTGTGAAGGCAGCTTGTGCGTTCCTCATCTAGGGATGCAAATGAGGGATTCTTTTGTGTGTAAGGAGGGTGCAAGAGTTTTTAATCAATGTTTTCGAAGCCTCAGCCGATATTGTCACTGAGAATGAGCTGTCCTTCTGCTCAAGAATTTTCCGAATACAGCTGGGCTTGTGGCCCCTGTCTTTGGTGTGAAATATCTGAGACTGATCGTGGTTTTGGGGTAACTGGAGGCTGTGTTGGTGTTGCTGCTTTGGAGAATGCTGGTCCGCATCAAGTCAGGCACTCAGAGCACAGAGACTGATGCACCTCTGCATGTGAGACAGAGCTCACTGGATTTTGATTCTTAATGGGTGGGAAAATCATATTTGTTCCCTCCAAAATACCCATTTGTGCACACAAGATCATCTTACAGGCCGAGTATTTGTAAACAAACACAGTGTCTATATTTACCAAAATGCTGTGAATGAATCACTCTCCATTCTTTTTCCTTATTTAACCTGAAGCTGGTTTTCAGCCCTACAATTGTAGCCCAAAATGTTTGTAACCTTTTCTGTCCCAAAGCCAGAAAAAAGCAAGCTGATGTGTGTGTGAAAATTGGCCAGATTTTCCCCATTTAAACCAAAGAAAAGAGTCTAGTAGGATAGGCCGTTACCACAGAGCATTTACATTCTTCACAATACTGCTCTCTGTAGGAACTTCTGTTAGCCCCATCATAAAACAAAAACAATATTTTGGCAGTAACTCCTGCTGTTAGTAAAATAGCATACCGTATAATGTAATCAGGTGTGGGAAGGAAAGAGATGTTTGTGGCGGTCCCTTCCAGGTCATAAGTGCTATGATCCTGGACTTGAGGTGTTTTGCCCTGCCACCCACCAGGGGTGCAGTGTTTGTGGCTACTCATTGATTTCCTTTGCACTGAGTTGTTGATGAGGCTGCCGGCAGGGGTGGCAGTTTGATGACACGAAGTGAACTCTCAGCGGGAAATCACAGTGCATGATGGCAGATCACTAGGAAAATTAGTGAGGAGAAAAGGCAGTCACAACGTTTCCCTGGCACTGACCCAGTGGCACGCTCTCGCCAATGAGAGAGGGACTCCACACTGGGTCAGGGGGAACTGGGCTGGGGAGCCCCTGAATGCTCTGCCTGCACTGCTGTGTCCTCTCTTCTGCTGCCTCACTCACTCCTTTTGCAGAGTCTTCTTGTGCACAGGTGAGAGCTGGACTCAGCCCCAGGAGATATTTATAAAGAATGGCTTGATAATTGTTTCCTTTATCCATAGCAGCATGGGTGTATGAATGGGAAGTGAGGAGGGGGAGGCAGGAAAGGACACAGCTGCTTAATTCCTGGTATGTTTCTAGTGGCTCAGTTTGGGAGGGAGGCGATGGATGAATCCATCGTGACCAGGCAAAGAGAACCACCAACCTCCAACACATTCAGCCAAGAGTGAGAATGGGAAGGATTAACAAACTTTGGATTCAGCACATTGTTAATGTTTGGTAAACATGAAATAAAGGTCTCAGGGCCTGATCCCCTGCAGAGTCAGGTGAGTGCATTGCCTGTGTGACTGTCCTAGGGCATCAAAAGTTGGTCTAGTGGGACTGACTGACTAGGCAGGCCTTGCCCATTTATTATGCTAGTGGTTTCTAAAGTGCTGTCCTCCCGGGGACCAGCAACATCAGCTACTAACTCAGAAACTTTGCGTTTCTGTGTTTTAACATACCCTGCAGGCAGTTCAGATGCACACTAAATTTTGAGAACCACTAGGTGTTAGGCAATCAGCTGTCCCTCTGGGTGTCTCTTAGAAGTCCCTTCCCCTGTACTGGCTTTTCTGGTAAGGTCAGTGAATTCACGCAGAGCTTTTCAGGTACAGTTGCCCTCCATATCTGTGGGTTCCATATCCATAGATTCAACTAACTGTAGATGGAAAATATTCGGGAAAAGAAAGGTTGTGTCTATACTGAACATGTACAGAGTTTTTTCTTGTCATTCCCTAAACAATCCAGTGTGACAGCTATTTACATAACATTTACATTTAAATATTTATAAAGAATGGCTTGATAATTGGTCAAGCCATTGTATTAGGCATTCTGAGTAATCTAGAGATGAATTAAAATATGCTAGAGGCTGTGCATAGGTTGTAAGTAAATAATATGCCATTTTATATCATGGATTTGGGTATCACAGGGGCTCCTGGAATTCATCCTTGGGGACACCAAGGTACAACTGTGCTTTTTATTTTCCCCTTTGATTGTTTTAATCATCCTTATCGTTATTCCACCTTGCGATGTTCTTTCTGGCCAAGGCTGGAGGAGCTTATTCAGCTTCCAGGACATATGAATGTGAAGGGTAGAGAATAGGAGAGTGAGCAAAGACAGCGGGCCTCAGCGCTAGCTCCACCCTGCAGCCTGCTGAGCAGGAGCCTTGATAACTCTTGTCCAGTGTGAAGGTGCTGGGGTGGTCCTCGTTTTTTTTTTTTTTTCTTCTTTGTGTTTCTTAGAGAGATGATGATTTGCTGAAGACATTGAACTGCTGTGATCAGGCAGGAGTGCAGGAAAAGCTTACCCAAACCCT